ATCATTGTCATTAGTTTAACATTCAACAAAATAAGAATCCCCATCAAATTCTCTTTTTTATTGTTATCGCGTAAGTATAATGTTTATTAATTTATATGCGATTGTAAAGCCTTCGAATAAATTCTTTGAAGGTGAACTTTATTAATGCTTTTTCTTTGTAAATAAAATATATTAATGCGCTGTCAAAATAATCGGTTAGTCATGTTTGTTCATCAGTCCTTACAGGTCAACTGTTCTTGCTTTGTTTTGTTTTTAAGATACAAAGCATCAAAGTTCTTATGACAAGTTGAAGTTAGAATTGTGTGGTAAAATATGTAACTGAGTTTGAGAATGATAACCAAAATAATAATATACGTTTACCCTGACATAATGGAATGCTGAATTGGTTGACATTTTGCACATTATTTGTGTTCCATTGTCAGGCTAAGAGTGATCGACTTGAGTACTTCTACAGTTTGTGGTAGATTGCTCTCAACTTTATAACTGTAAATTATTTTTATCAGATTGAACATTTTCTATGCCTATGGTTGGAATAAATTAAAAATGTGATATAGTAAATTAAAGAAGATTGGTATATTTAATTCACTTTAAACGATTATTCATAAAAATTACGAATAGTCAGTTTAAAACTAAATGGATTGTAATAGTAAAGATAATTTATCGCATCAGTACATAGATCCAGATTCCATGTAGGTCACAGCATGCTTACAAGTGTTTTGAAATTAGAAATTTCATTCTCATTTCTAAAACACTACTACAGTAGTTTTCAAAGTGAGCCAACTAATCGTCCGACTAAAATTGCTGCTTATCGTTTAGATATTTAAATGTCATGTTCTCACGAGTAACTTTCTTCAAAATGTAACTCCTAGGGTTCTAGGGACTATCCATGACCAATGGAGTCCAACCCATTTAATGTGTGAGACCGTTATCCACCTCTGGAAATGGATGAAGAGTTGCGCAAGATCATGAATTGTTTGAAGTTGGAAATTAACATCGTTTTATGTCTCTCAGCAGTCTCGAGGTTGAGTGTTCGCGCCAGAGACTAAAGGTCCTGTATTCGAGTCCTGAGTGCGGGGCCGTGAATGTGCACTGTTGTGTAGCCCGACACTAGTACAAAACGACCGCCCGGTGCATCCAGGTTTTCACTAGTTCTCTAATTCATATCGACTCGTGATTTAAACTATGAAAATATTTAAATATGCTGAATTAAATCATCTCAATGTTTAGAACTTTATGACAAGTTACTAAGAAAAAACATCAGCGTTTCTCATCAGATTCCTTTCCATAGTGTTAGGTTTAATATATATACCAGTTTACAGAAGCCACAACCTTTAAGTTTTACTTGTTTCAGCCGTATTCTAATTTAGTACTAATAAGTGGCGTGGATTAGGGATAATTTCCCTAACTAAAATACAATCATTTGAAGAACTGTTTAAAACAGTGAGCATAAGCAGTTGTTTTACCTTAGTTTTAAATTATTTAGTAGTGTGAAATTATGATCACATACAGGATTAATTTGAACACCTGTATTGAATGACACATGTGGTGATTTCTACGAAAACTCTTGGGGTTTCTGAACATGAACATTGTTATTTAAATGCCACCACTTAAATATCGAGAAAATGATATAAGGCAATCTAGTTATCTTGTAACATATGAAATGAAGCTTATTCAGAGCCACACGTGCAGAAAACATTTAAAAGAGATATTAGTATTCAAGTTTACAAGATGTCAGCTGTTATCTCTGAAAGATACTATGATACTTTCAGAAACTCATGTCTTTGCAGTAGTCTCATATATATTTCTGATTTATATTGCCTTATTTATCACTAATAATCATCTTAGATCCTGTTGTCTTGTTTACGAGGTCCCATTTATGAATTAATAGCCTGAGATTGTCATTTACTGTGCTATGGTTTCTCAAGTTTGTTGCCAGATTAAACATAACGAATCAAAACAAACTCCAATTTATTATATGTAAAAACTATATTTGAAATATTCTCAGCGATTGAAATTTAACTAATTCCAACGTTTCGTCCAGCTAACTTGTCTGGATTTCTTCAGGGTAATAATCAAACGTTGGAATTAGTTAAATTTCAAACACTGAGAATATTTCAAATATAATTTTCACATATAATGACTTCTCTATACTCGACACTCAATTACTGTCAAACTATTCGTTCTAATCTTGACGAATATTCGTATGAACTCCGATTTAGTTTTGGATAAATACCTTACCAATAAGTTATACGAAAGTTACTCAGCAAGATCCGCCACTCCTGCTTTCCTGTAGTTATCTTTATCTTTGCCCTTTAATCATTTATGGAAACTTTGCGTGGTAGTTAACAATGGCTTACTCTCTCCTTTATAAAACTTCTAACAGTATTTTCATGTATTTTATCTATTGGACTAGGTATAGGATTCGTGTTTTATGACAAGCAGTGGTAATAAAGTCAATGTCATACTACCACAGCTATTCCAGTTATATTCTGTTTATTGTCGATCATAAGAAATAACTTATTGTCACATACAGCAAACTAGCTGCGAAAAATTCTGATCATCATGTCATTAATATTCAAGAGGTGTTATATATTGTTCCAACTCAAAGCACGTGTTCTGGGAATTCTATATTGTAATTAACATATAATATTGAATAAAGCCATTAACAATAATAATAATAATAAATATGCCTATTTTTGATCTTCTGGTAACTAATTAATCACTGGATCAATGATTTCTTCAGCTTTAGTCACTAATTTTACAAGGTATTGATATCTGGTCGCTTAAGAAAAACAGCTTCAACGCCACTCAACCAAATGAAAAATCTTTTGGAATATTACTTAGTTGGTCACAGCTCTGTAATAACTGTAAGGTTGTACGTTATTCATAAAATTGCCGTACTCCGAGTTGGTGACGGCAACTAGCCATCGACTAGGTTCATTAAAGGAATGCACTAAATAAGTTTTGAATCATTGATTTTTATTTATTCATGTACTCAAACTCATACTGAAAGTTCAGAATTAAATATTTTTTATCTCAGTTGCATTGGTTGCACCAAAGCTCATAAATAAGCTATAAATTAAGGTGAGTCCAACACTTCTGGTCGCCAGTTAATTAAAGCACTTCTAGAATTTTCATAAAATTCCAATTCGGTTCACCAATCTCAGACGGGTATGGAAAGAATTAATAATGATACCAAATGAGCTGATAAGTACTATCTATTTTAAACACGATGTAGTCTGATATTTATATATTCATATCAAAGACTCAGTGGTATTTATAAACAGGTTTTAAATTTATTGCCAATAATGTTTAGAGTTATGTAATATGGTGAAATATAAGCTTTCATTAAAGGTAGTCATAAGTCAAGTTTACATTACATCTAGATATTGAATTGCGATTATGCATGTAAAGTATTTTTAATCTTTTTTTCATTACCAATCAGATATTAGTTATATCTGTTCTATTTTTGTCCGATAATAAAATATGTGAAAGACATTAGTTGAGAAAGTTTAAACCATGTTCTATATCAATGACACATATTTCCTTCATTTCTATATTAAGGCAATAGATATTAGTGTTAGGGATGCAGAGGAATATACCAATAATTATCGTGTTAAGTCTAATGGTGGCCTTGGACTTTAAATGTACATTACCTATTGGTCGATATTTGTTTCACTTGTTAAATATTGGGTAAATGTTGTTTTCTATTTTATGGTACGATGTGGTTTGTTTGGTTGGTATATAAACAGAGTATGTCTGAAATACAAGGATTCATATCTCAGAGGCTGTGACTTGCATTCTGGACTCAACTGGCTGGAATAGACAGCGAAGCAGGGTCAATCGGGACTCTAGGTCGTTCATTACGTGTTTACACGTCACTGAATCGATCGATAAAACGCTGCTTGTCAAAACCTTCAGTCTCACCCGTTACAACAATCAGGTTACCAAAGCCGAATGACTTGTCGATTCTCGATTTTCATGAATACCGAAAAGTGTTTTGTATCACTAAGTGACCAAATGAGAACACAGATAAACTTGAATGTAATTATCAGCTGTATTAAATAAACTGAAGATAGTCATAGTGTAATCACAGAAACAGTTATTTCGTTAATGTATATTTTCCTTCGAAAACGATTACTGATAGGAAAGTTTATACTTCCCAGCTGTCATTTAGAGTGATTATATGTTGACGTTGAAAAGATTTTAAAGGAAATTGAAAAAAAGACCTACTTATTATAAAAAGATAAGTACTAAACAGGAATCATGATGTGATTATTGCACTAAATCATTGCACACATACGAGTTATTTTTCCTCTACATAAATTAACTCGAACTATTTTTCTGTATGTTTCATCATCAATTTCTGTAATTATTTCATCGAAATATATTTGGTATTTATTTATGAAACAACTATCTAACAGTCAACTATCATATGATTTTATACGTGTATAATTGTTTAAATCATTAGGCGGTGTTTTTCTTTCTCTCAGTCATTCCCATATGAACACGTAACTTATATCAATGAATACATATATATTATTTATGAATCTTTTTTTAGATCAAATTAAATCTTCAATTTTGGTGGTTTATAAAATGCATGTTTGAATAAATTGGCAAATGCTATTAAAAGCTTTTTTTTCTATAATTTATCAAAAGTAAAGTCTGATATAAGTAGGTTGTACATTCAGTTTACAAGATGTAATCTGGGCTGTTTTATCGATTATAGACGTTGTGTTTTAACAATGGATTTCATATAATGTAGCGTTATCAGTATAGGGTTGTGGAGATTGTTGAGTTTTTACTACATTCATGAATTGATCAATGTAAGACCACTACTGAAAACCTGGAAGCACTGGACATCAGTTTTATCCTACAGTTTGTGTTCAGATTTCTTACTTTAAATGCTATTTTACAGTTGAACATTTAATGAACAAAATAAATATCAGCTTTAAATAATGAAGGTCATCTTATTTTCTAGTTTTATTTAATTTACCCAGGCTAATGCTTTTTTTAATGGGATCGCCAATGAGCATCAGATTTTATCTTTTTCCATAAAAGTCATCGAAGCCAATAATAAATTTGTGATCAAACCAATGAAATTAACAAAACCTATCATTCACAAGTGTATTATCCAAAGTTCTAAAGTTTTTACACGGACAATATTATATTAAACGATATGAAAACATTCAGTATGCATTCATAACAATGATTACTTGAAATAAAACCACGTTACTTTTACATCACTTCACAAAGATAATTGATACTTGTACTTTGAACAGAATTATACTTCGTGAATATAACTGGTAAAATGAAAAAAATCTTTACGTAGATATTTGTTTTTGCTTTTTGTTTGGCCTATAGATCAATAATCATCAAAGCGATTCTGGTGCTGAACTACTGAATAGTATGAGTAGTTCATTCATTGATAATTCAGTATCGGATATTCATCAAACAAATTCACAAACACCTTCACATAAGTCTTCTACAACATCAAATCATAAATTTGGTATTAATATTAGCACTAACAGTATCAATAATAACAGTATGACAGTAGATATTAACAGAAGTTATAATTATGATCAGCATCATGATAATAAAATTAATCAAAATACTGATAATTTGAACATTACTGCACGATTACAAAGGCATAATGCTAAACGTGTAATACCACCGAAATACGATCAGATCAACAATGTTTCATCTACAGAACAAGGTCCAACTCAACTATTAAATTCAATGCTTAATGATTTATCGTCTGAACTATCTCAGCATGGTGCAAAAACTAATCCTCGTGGACAGTGTTATGCTTGTAAAAAGCCTATAAATGGAACGGTAAATTTAAATTCAATTACATATAGTCTACTGATTACATTGATTCTAATAATATTTCATTCTTTTATTCATAAAATACAGTATGTATTTTTTTCCAATTTCGGTTAAACAGTCTGTATTTAAATCACTAAATGAAATACTTTCTGTGTGTCAAACAATGGACTACTTCAATTTATGATACTTTAAATCAATAACATGTTTTTAAAGCATTAAATGTTTTTAGAATAATAACAATAATAGTAAGTCCACTGGGTCCAATTATGGCAAATATATTTATGGGTTATTTTGAAAACACAGAGAATAACAAAACAACGGAATACTCCAGACATGTTGATTATACGTCTATTGTGTGCAATAGTAAACAATATTCAATTCGCCTGTAAGAACTCTTTAACGATGCTCATTCTAACAATTTACTATAGAGCACAAAAAGAATGACATGTTTAACTTTCTTGTCTTTGCTATACGACTAGAGGAAAACAGAATAGTTCAACGTTAAGTTTATTGAAAAAGTTCTTGAAATGGTCTTTACCTGAATTTCAATAGCTTTTTTCCAGTCATTTATAAAGAAGCGTTGGTCGAAACACTATTTTACAGAGTAGAGAGGATGTGTACCACCGGTGAACTGTAAAAAGAATTGATGAACGTGGAAAATGTCTAGGGGATATCTGCTACCCACAGAAAGTTTTCGAAAAATCTAAAACAATCTAAAAAAACAAGATGGGTGTGACTGTAGTCAAGAAAAAACCAGTATATATAAATCATAGCTTTAAAGGTGGTGTTACAGTAAGGGCAATCATCAGTAGGCTTAAAACTGCATTGGCCAGAATGTACTAGGCAGCAAAGCTAATAATGCTGTATAAAACAACATGTTCACTAAAGCAGTCAAACGTCGACAAACACTTTTCATGTCATCGCCAACTGTGTTTATAAAGTTACGTGTACTTGCTAAAGCATCTAAACTGACAGAACAGAAAGAAGGGTATATATTGGAATTTTTAAAATGTTCTGGAAAGTCTTCAGACTAGAAAGAAAACTACATTAAACGGCGCAGTTACCGAACATCTCGTGGATACAGGATATCAGGTGGTTGATAAATAGCCAAGCTCCAGTCTTCTAAAGTTCACTGAAGACGTTGCTACCACTCGTGAAAAACCTTATATGAGGTGTTAAAAAGGAGAGTGTTGTTTATCTTTTTTTTGCGTTGGTGACAAATATTTCTCCATTATATCGTAAAAAATTTCGTTCAATTCTTTCCTCTAACTGATTACATGATTACATCTTTTTTATTTTGACTGTTTCCGAGATTAGTGACTTTATTTTATCAAAAAGGGGTTTTATGGAGATTTTAGTAATTTAATAGTTAAATTCGTGAGTCGACTAAAGTCAAACCACCATGGAAAACCTGGAAGCACTAGACATTAACACCGTTGGATGCCGATTTATTGGTCTAGAGTTTTGGCGCTCGTATGCGAGACCGGAGGTCCTGGGTTCGAATCCTGCGAGCGGCATCGTGAATGCCCACTGCTGAAAAGTTCTATATTAGGAAGAAATGACCACCCAGTGCTTCCATTTTTCCATGGTGGTCTAGCTTTTATTTACTCATGAATTCAACTATTAAGTCTTATTTTAATTATTTGAGCTTTCCTCATTTTATTCTCACTTAGTATAATGTCTACTCATTGAGTAACCACTTATTTCTAACCCTTTGGACATTAGTTATTATCAGCTGTGTGAAATATTCTTTTACGTAAGGTATATATCTACAATATTTTATTCAGTCTGTTAAATTTATTTACACCCTTCCTATGCTTTACTGATGTGGAATCTTCGTAACTTCCACTTAAACTCTTTCATGTAAGTAATTTAAACTCCTTTTGTAATTATAATTTTTATATATCACAAGTTTTAAGCAGCTGACAAGAACCAAACGAAATAATATGAACTCATGATATTCTGTTCAAACGATTGCTCTAGCTCTCTTCAATAATGATAATAGTGATAACGTTAATGATAATAAAATCTACACAATAGGTATGGAGATCTAACTGAAAATATAGTTAAAAATGCTAATACAGTTAACTGTACTTTATTTCACTTATTTACCCTAACACTTTTTATCGTTATTTTTTTGACCGTTTGAGGCCCTACCATCCTAACCATTTAAGCTTTTTATTATATTTCTTATTTTTTCATTACTGATATGAACTGTTATTTATATCGTTGTTATTGTCAACATTATTAAGATCATTTTATAAGTGATTATTTATTATTTTATCTATTTTAATGGTAACAATTTGTGAGTTGATTACATCAGAAGCCCAATAATCTATTGTTATCTGATATAACTTAAACATTTATAAGAGGTGTAAAATAATTTATTAAAATTTTTTGTATTAGGAAACTCAATTACTTTATCAATGTTTCTTTTTACAACATTAAAGTCTTAGAGATTTATCATGCAAGAAATTAGGTACTTTTATAGAAGATTTAAAATAGACAATTTGATTCGCTTACATATATACATAAAAACTATTCCGATGTCTTGTATTTGTTTTTACTATTCCAATATATTTAACAGTTAATAACAGCTATTGGTAAAGAATGGCATCCGGAACATTTCACTTGTGCTAGTTGTCGTGTTGGCTTAGTTCGTCAAGATTTCTATGAACGTGATGATCAAGCTTATTGTACTCAATGTCATCTACAAATGTTCTCACCTAGATGTGGTTATTGTGGAGAGGCAGTTGTCGAGGTTTGTTAATTTAGTATTAAACATTGTTGTTTTTACTTTTCTTTTCTTTAAACGAGAGGATAGAAATTCAAAATAATTTCAAATAAGTTTATTTGGTTAATTAAGCCACTATGAAGACATTCACCATAGCTATTCTTTTTTCTAAATAACAAATATCACTATTCAATAAATTATCCTATATTGTTATTAGTTCATCCATTCAATCACAAAGTCTACAAATGTTTTGTTTATTTGTTAAATCTTTTGAAGAAATTGTTCATGTTGGAAAGATATTCCGTTTAATTATTTACAATGTTGATATGATTACGCCATATATTCCGTGTACTTTAGATGATTAAGCGGAAAAAGCTTTTGACTAAGATTCTATATAAATTTGAAATCACCAGGAAAAATGTCTGAATTTTGAAGAAACTTTTACTCTTTTAAAGAGTCGAATTAATATGGCTCAATGTTTCAGACTGCGCAAAACATTTTCACTCTATTAATTGTAACCATTTAAAATGTGGGCTACAATTTCAATTCACTTGATCCACTAATTGCATTATGATGTAATTGTTAAAATTCACTTAATGCTAATTACTTAATAATTTGATTTAGGTTAAAGCTCAATGATCAAACGATGTAAGGTTTAAGATGTCAAAAATAATGTTGTCAATCTAAGTTGTAAGAAAAAAGATCCAATAGATAGAGGATCAATAACTTGTACTTACAACTAATTACAATGTTATATAGTGCTTAGACTGGTGACTAAATCTTTTGTTATTAAATTGCCTTCCAATAATTTATTTCACTTGCTTTCTAGGAAATATTGATTTTCTGAAGAAATTAATAACATCGCTATAAAAATTGTAATATTTTTAATGACTTTATTTATTTTGTGTCTCTATTCATCAAATGTATATGTCATATAATGGTTTTGTTTTCAAAATATTTGGGATCATATAACAAGTATTGGGTTAGATCTATTTAATTCAGATTTTTAGTTAAACTCGGTTAAACTTCTGGTTTCATGCATATGTTATATTTGTATACAGAAATAATTAAATTATACCTTGGACACAATTTTAAAGTACCCCAGGTATGTCTAACAACATACATACACTAACACATCTGTACACCGATACAAATATTACATAGACAACTAGTTTGTATTTCAACCTGTATATAATAAATAGTAACCCTATGACTAATGATGAATCATTGCAATCGAAGTATTTACACAACATAAATGTCCACAACTATATATGTATATGCAAGCACAGACATTCGTCGATATATTTTTTAAAAAATATTATGAGGATCACATCCTTGCATGTCTGTTTTTATCGAAAATTCTACTATTTTTTTTTATTAAATCGTTAATCATCTGTGGAAAAAATTGATTATTAAGTCCTTTTTTATCTTCATTTTTTTCCACCTCATAGCCTACATTGATAAAAACAATAACAACAAAATCTGTTGATTTGTTTATTTCGTTTTTTTTTGAAGTAATGACGTAGGTGATTCATTGTATGCCAACATCTTCATACCCTTATGTTTATTGCAATCGGATTGAGTTATTCGCATAGTGAACGTTTTGTGCTTTACAGGAGAATAAAAGTTATAATCAATTGAATTGATTTGTGTGAACTTGGAAGTATGGATGATTGGACATTGAATAGATAATCTAAAGTTGGCTCTACCTATCAGACCTGAAGGTCCTGAATTCGATCCATAATATGTCATTACGTGTAACTGAGGGAATAAAACAATTGCCTAGTGATCTTTAGTTTTCAAGGTTTCACTAGATGAAGTTAGTCTATGATGCAAACTATTTCGGAGTTTGATTTGGTTAACTTTTAATTAGGTTTGATTGATTCGAATGCAGCAGTGCAATACTTTGGTCTATGAATGACTGAATACAAGTTTGACGTTTTTTCCTTCTAGTCCCTTCAAAACACACCGAATGACTTAACTGTTTTTCTTCTTCCATGTAAAAATAAAAATCACATGATGTCGTTGTTGTAAATGAAGCGTACCAATTGACTAATTGTTAACTATTATAATGTTATAATAAATAGTTTACTAAGATTTACTAAATATTCAGTACAGTATTGATCAGAGTTGTATCTGTCGTTTACAATGATACTAAAATACTCAGTTTTCATTTTGTGTACAATTGACTTAAATAGGCAAGATCCAACCGAAAATGACCCTTAACTAAATAAAAACTTCAATATAAAGTTAATTTCAACACGTAATGAAATTACTGATAAATCAATTAAAAATTACATCCATGGCAATTAGATTTGATATTTCAGAAAAACTAATTACTCGATTCTCGCATAAATGTTAAATATTGAACAAAATACTTAACACTGTAACAATTATCTACTTTTATTTGGTATTTACCTAAACCAAAAGGAATTTTATTGTGTTATTACTTAGAATGTGATGTAACATACTTCTAAACTTTTCAATCAGTCACTATTAATCATCTCAACGCCTGGGGCAAATATGTTTTAGCTCAATATCCCACACCACATTAACACTACAAAATAAAATAAATCAGATCAATATCAAAAGGAATAATGTTGGAACAATGACAATAAGAAATTAAACTTTGGTAAAATGTTTTCATAAGACGGGATGAAAATATATGTATGAAGGAGTATTTGAACTCACCATCTAGAATAAAATAAAGAGTGAGGCGAAACTATAATTTATGGATGACTTATCAACGGATGATGAGTGACCTTGTGAAATTTCAGCCAATCAGAAGACAGCTGGTATAGAGCAAGAATATATTCTACAAAACTAAAGAATTAGAGTGTATACACTACTTTGGCGTCGTTTAAACACTTTCCAAGGTTAAAAAGAGGCCCTGAAGTTCTGAAATCGTAATGCATACAGTACCGGGGCTCATTCATGTGACACCATGATCGTCGACCTCTGGAGCTATGACAAGATCACAAAAATTCTTTTGGCCTCGACCACACTGCTTCTGCATTATTTGTGTGTATTCTCGCGGTTGCGTCTACAAAATGTCACTTGTGAACGGCGATACGATGCACGTAACCAAGTCTAGGTCACCCGTGTATATTGTGGTATCCAGCTGCACGTACTCTCGTATAATTGGTATTATCGTTGTAGCTTGTCGGTTTCTCACGCACTGGAAATGATCGTTTAGAGACAGTCTATCATAAATACCGAAGACGTTCTCAGTATACTTAAGGAAATGCTACATACCCAGTTTTATTTAACACTTTTTATATGAAATCTGCGTTTTCTAGTGAACGTTTTGTCTATTTCTACGATTCTCCTGATTCAAGCATTTTCTCGATTTTCTCAACAGTACTCATACTACTGAAGTGTCAAAGCTTCAGTAACATCTGCAAAGGTTGCAGCCAGTTTTAATGGTGCATTTATTATCCAGTTTAAAAAAATTATTATAACCTGTCTTAATGTCAATCGATATGGAGTGAAAAAAGTACCCGTTTTAGCAACATATATTACATCGAAAAACAACATCGTCACGATAGTCTGTACGATGTCCATCAGTCATTTGAACATTGCAATCACAAATAAATGAGCTTCCCAGCAATCCCACCAGTTGTAGTCGCTCAAATATAACGATCTCCTTGAAATCAGCTGTAAACCGATCATGAATGAGCATTGTATATTGAAATAGACTCCGTGACCTTTAAATCACTCAATCATTTCTGATTGGCTCGTTCATAAATTATAGTCTCAACAAAATTGAATTCATATGCGTCACAGTGACTGATACTAACCCATTCTATTTAATATCTTCAATCACAAAGTATTATTTTTCAAGAAATTGCAATTTATCAAATTCACATCAAAATATAATTGATAAAACACATTATAAAATGTATTAATTTACATGGGTTGGCTTATTACTCAATCTTAGTGACTAATTAAATTGCTTACAATTTCTTAGTTTCGTGATTTATTTTTAAAATACCTTTTAACTCATTTAAACAATCTATTTTTTTATTTATATAATGTAACAAAACAAATATCTGGTCATGCATTTTTCATGTATTTTATTTCCCATAACAAGTATAACAATTAACTTCAAATTATCAGTAACTTATTCAATATTTCATGAATCTTATGATTACTATAATCATATTTATGTTTTATATGGACTACTTTTTTTAAATAAAAAGCTGTTTAACCTTTGACATTTAAGTTAACTAGACAACTGATTCCTACTAGATCCCATGTTAAACATTTATTAGCTACGGTTAACCTCTCTATCTTATCATAAGGTTACATACTTTTTTTCCCTATATCCATTCGTCTCGTGATTAGCTTTCATGAAGAGTGTTGCAGAAATTTGCCTGCATAAATTTATTAGAAAAGTATGTAGTAGATACATTTTATGAATTAGCAATCAACGATTGATTAAGATATAAATAAATTTACTTTAGCATTGGTATATATATATATATATCATAACGCATGTTTCTTGGCCATGTATACTACTAAATGTTGCTAAACATCATTTAAACTTTTTAAATTGAGTGTGCCAATATTGTGTAATTCAATCATGTGCGCACTTGTGTATACAATGAATTTTTGTGTTCAATTTCTTTGTTCATATCTGCAATTCTATTTAAGCATGTTACAGGAATTGCAAAAAAACTGAGAGTGCAAGACGAAAATTTCATTAAAACATAAACTTTTTGAAAATTTTATTGATAACTATGCATTGTTGTGTTGCCAGCTAATAAAGTATACTGATTGACTAAACGACGTGCTCTCCGTGATAGATGTAGGCTTAGAGTTTACGAGTTAACATAGTTAAGCATTATTGTTCTTGAAAATCTTCTTGGACAAAGATATAACTACTGTCCAGTACTCTTTGATTGTATGAGGTTGTACTTCAATGATCTGGACAGTAAGTTGTCGACTGTCATATCATGGATTTGAATCCACTTGTCTTACATGAAGTGTAAGTCATAATCTAATGGTCCTATTTGCATTGAATTACAAGCCTTATTTTTCCATATGATATTGGTAATATCTATGTCAGAGTGGGAAACGTATATCATTTAGAACTTTCATATGGTGAATGCTTTGATGCTGATGATCATTAAGATACTGGGTTCTGACAGAATCGATCGACAATAAAACTACCCCAATTATATCCAAAGATTTAAATTGAAAGTTTTGAAAGAAGTCAGGCTTTCTATCGATTCCATGTTTCCGTATGAGAGACATAGTGCATTGTCATCTTACATATATCTTTAGTTGGCTTTTGGTTCCTGAAGCATATGACAGTGACCATCCTTATTTTTTAACTGAAAGAGGTGTATATATCACCGGTCACACTTTATGAGGATCAAGTGAAACAAACAAGGACCAATATAAGTCTAGTTTTCCATGACACATGAATTATAGCTTGAATACGTGAACATGGTTTATTCACATATAACTATCTCAAGTATCTTTCTGAATATTTTAGATTACCATCTATAAAATCCTCAAAATACCGACTACTTACCGTTCCAAAAATAACGTGAAATATATCCGCCTGGTCTATACTATTGTTTGAATAGCAGCTAGTATCTTACAACTGATGGAATAATAATTTATTAAATTACTTGCTAAATTTTGGTTTATTTACACTGTATATTTCACATCTGAACTACTCCAAAAGCCCTTCATAAGAACTCGGTACTGTATACTGGATTTTTTCCATATTATATCTACCATCTATCCGAATCTTGAGAATGATATTGTGTTCATACTTTAATCACTTTTGGACTAGGGTATTTTGTGCTCTGTTATCCTTCCACCTACTAAGATATTTATCACCATTGTTCATTTTTAAATTTTATCTATTATTTAATTGATAATTTGAAAAACTTTATTCATCTCAATATATTCAAATGATATTTGGCAAAATGAATTAAAAGTATTCATGGAAACGGGTAAAGAAATAGGAAATGTGTACTAAAATCACTATTTCTTAACTTATTTTTTAAGCTTCGTATTTAACTTAAAACGACTTATGACAAAAATTCTTTTCCTATGAATATATCTCTTAAGTTTTTATAAAACTATTTCAACTGTTTTAGAAATGTGTTTTGGCTTTGGCACGTGCATGGCATCCTGAGCACTTTTTTTGCTACGAATGTCATTCCACTTTTAATGGATCGTTAACAGTACATGAACAAAATGGCAAATTTTACTGCTCGTAAGTTTCGTAATGTTAAACAGTGATTATCATGACCAATGGAAGAAGAACTTAGTTAGTTGCCTAGTGAAACTGATTATGTAAGGATAAGAATAAGAAATAAGTAATTCATGTGCATATTAATATGGTTCACTTGGTTGAGGATATACGTGATTTAAAGAAAAAAGCTGTAAAATTGTTTTATGGGCTCATGAATTAAATTCATGTATTTAGTTTTATACAAATTACTACCAAGCAACCACTTCATCTGTGTTAGAATTAACAAATACAAAGAATCATTCATTACTTCAAAGCCTACATTTTTATCAATGTTCAATCAGTTGTTATATCAGAAGTCAGATTATCTTAGTTGGATTTTTTTATTCATAAATCATAATTTCGATTACCTTATAGATATTTAGTTAGTTGACCAGAAGCCTTGTCTTTTAAATTACCTATGGTTGCAATTTGCTTATCAATTTCACAAACAAATTACCTTAGTTATTCCGACGATTGTATGAATTAATTTTATCATTGTAATAACTTGGAGCTAACCACCGGAGTTAGGCTAACTGTCAGCGAGAGAGAAAAAAGATGACGATTCGCAATGTAGACATTTTTCATAACTTATCTCAACTTAAAGAGTTTATTGAACTGACTAATAGAACATTTCTCTTATTGCTAATATTAAATTCATAATCAAGTAAACAAACAAGTGATTTGATTTTTAAATAAACTGTCAGTTTAATGTAATCTATGTTTATTTGCTTATGATTTATAATGATAAATTTTATTAGTTTGATTTTATAGATCAAAATCATCATAAATTATAATCTACATTTAAGGCAGGTAGTTTTCAACAAAATTCACTTATTTCATAATTCATAAGGATTTGTTCAGTTACAATTTCCAATGTTCATTAACTATAAGACTTTACATTTGATGGCTTACTTTCCGTTATTAAGTAACTAAACTTAATTTTATTTTAAACTGTTTGCTTTAAATTGTAAAACTTATAAATTAATTCTTTCTATATGAAGTAACTGCTATTTCACACGATTTGGAACTCCATGCTCTGGCTGTCAACAACCTATTACAGATGCATACATAACTGCGTTGGATATGCCTTGGCACAAAGATTGTTTTACTTGTCATGTAAGTCATTTCATTCAATCAATTTTGATTGCACCGCTACTTTTGACAACTTTCTTCTAAATTCTTTTGCTTAAAAATTCTCATTGTATTGAAAGTATAGATATGTGAATCAAGAATTTTTTCCAGTAAATTCTTTTCAGTTTTGACAATTATAAATCCAAATTAATTGTTGAACGAGATGTCTAACATTAAAGCATTCTTGAATATAGTAGTGTATAAATTCAGGATCATTTGTAAAACGAAGTATAATCGTTAAGATTATTTATATTCACATATCTCTGACCAAACATTTAGTTCCATTTGTAATTGAATTATTATTTCTCTCACCATATGCTGTCTACATTTATTTGTAATATTATTTTTACAATCCTATGTAAAGTATAAACCAATTCAAGTTAACACCGCTTACTAGTTATTTTAACGTTATTATATTTTACAAACAATCACTTGGTTTGTAGCGTAAGCGAGATATTCGTCCGACGAATTTTCTGTGCGACTGTTTGCTTCGTTCTTTTTTGCGGGTGTAAGCATAGCCATTAAGGACAGAGGATATCTACAGATTCCTCTTCGATCACAGGTGTCTTCGAAACGTCAATCCTGTATTTTTGGACCACTGAGTAAGCAACATCTGAGTCTGAAATATGGTATTAGGTAAATATTACAAATCATTTGATGAAGTAGTAGATCTTCACCAATTGAGGCGGTGGGGTCATGAGTTGCGTAAACCTAACCACCTCCTCCCTTGAAGAGCGATGCTTTCTCGAATAAAATTAGGTTGGAAGAACGCTGACACAGGTTACATTAAAATGCGGCATTAGTCCATGAAGTCATTGACAATTGGACTGAGCTATGTAGGTAGGTATAGAATACCTGGTCATGACAGCGTGATTATCGTAACTAGTAGTTAGAAACTTTGAATGACGTTGGCAAAATCGTTTGCAAGGGTGCGGGTGAATTCGCTCTTTGTCTTCCCCTAAATTTCAGGTTTTTAAATTCCTCATACTCTTTTTATTTCACTAACTTATCTTTCCTTCGTCTTTTTGTAGAGCACATGTTTCCAAATTTCTCAAGCACTTCTCACTAATTATGTTATATTTTCTTGAATCGTATCCTCGATGCCCAATCCTGTTTATTACCATTGATATTATTGCTATCTCAACTACCCTGGGATTTGACCTAAAATCTTCGTTTTGTTGTACCTCTGCGGTTCGGCGAATCGAACCGATGTACATAATTACCGCGTTCAACGTTTAATCGGACAGAATGACTGACTTGCAATCGTAAATTCACATACTATAACTTCAAAACATGCATTTGTTTCAAACTTGACACTTTTAGACCAATAATTTGAGTTTGCAATTCTGGTTCCTGATAAAAACCTATTGAAAATGATATTTTCCGTTCATATATCTGTACCTTTTTGTGAAGGAATATAGTTTAGAAATATGTTACATTTGATCAATGAGTAGTAATTGACTTATGTGGTACAATCGAAAAATGATTTTTTTTTGAAAATGTGACAATTCCAAAGATTTCATAGTGTACATCAATTTTTAGCTATTATAAATATTTTAGAGATTTCATTGTACTTTGAGAATATAAATGGACGACGCACGCTTCAGTAGAAAATTTGAACTGTACACAATCCACTGTATTAAAGAAATTAATTAACCACTCGTATTGTTAGTAAACCAAATTTTTTGAAGTCACAGTCTGATGATCAAACAATATGCTTTATTTATATTTCCTATCTTATCTAGTTCAACTTTATCTTTCCAATCCCCTCCATCATTTTCCTCTTTTAATACAGGATTGTAATAGAATACTCACTGGATCAAGTTTTCATGAAATTGAAGGATATCCTTACTGTGATTCTCATTATTACTCAAGACGTGGATTATTATGCTCTGCATGTTCATTACCAATTACTGGAAGGTGTGTAAACGCACTTGGTAAACGTTATCATCCAGAGCACTTTTTATGTGCTTATTGTTTACATCCATTACAAACCGGTACATTTAAAGAACATTCAAGTAAACCATACTGTCATCAGTGCTTTACCCAACTGTTTGGTTAGTATGGTGCACAAATATCTACATTTATATATACATACATATTACTGTTTTTTTCTTCTTGTTTAAGTTTCCGATATTGAAGGTTGAACAGTTATGTTTATTACCTTTAAACTATCAAAATAGTATGACAAACAGTAAATGTTAAATTATTTTTAAGTACTATTCAGCTTATGTTTCAAAGTATTGTACATACTGTTTGTATCTTGTTTTTTTAGTTATTCTTACATCTCATAACGTGTTTCTTGCTTAGACTCAACAACTTACACGAAGATTTATCAAGCACACTGTGTTAGTCAATATTATACTTTTGAAACTACATAGCATCTAAATGTGTGTTTCATATATGTTCTCATCGCCAAAACACTATTTGATGTAAAAAGTAATGTATTCATTTTGTAATTTGAGTATTACGTTATAACTCATGATCATCTTCACTTAATTGAATATTTTGAAATGTTTACATGTACTAAGCATTTTGATAATTACTCAATCAAGAACCAAGTACATACGGTCTAAATAATTGAAAATTATTACTGTTATGATTTAACATCTATTTTTTGGTCCTGATATATTGCTATATGTACACTTGGTGTAAGAAATGTCACCATAGTTACTTTCATCTTTATTTTCATAGATAAGTAGTTAGATTATTGTAAAATACTGAACACCTTAATGTTGACTAACTTACTCAAAAGCTTAGAAACCGAACCTATGTTCTACAGTTGGTATGAGCATAGCAAGATAGTTGATGACTTAACAAGATTTAGAACAAAATATCATCAACTGTTATAAAACAAGTTGCGTAATGCTCAGTAGAAGACGTGCCTTTTGTAAGGGACATTTTATTGTCCCAATAAAAGGAGACATTACTACATAAGACGTCTGTGAAGATAATCAGTAAACGACTAACAATAGTTGACAACAGAATAATATTGAGAATCAAGTAACAAATAGAAAGGAAATATAATGTCTAAGTCCACGTCAACGTTGGGCTTGAAATCATAGGGGCAACAGTCATAGTTTATAAATATTCCCAATATCTAGCTGAAAAACGTCTCCTTCCATTGAGTAGTTGTAAGCACAAATATAAGCTTAAGAACGAAACCACACCAGAATTTCCCTCTTTCTCTCTCTCTCTCTCTATATATATATATATGTATATATATATATATATATATATATATATATATATATAGAGAGAGAGAGAGAGAGAGAGAGAGAGAGCTGGATGATCCAGCTCAGAGAACAAAACTCCATCAAAAACAGATACTTAGCCTACTAGCTGTTGAAGATGTTATTTCCCTTCCTGTCATTGATTTCTACTCCAGACTTCCTGAGAACGACTGCTTGTAATTGTGTGGAATAAAGCATTATCTATTGTTACTCTGATTCTCTATTCTGGGTTGGATCTGATATGATGTTACTAGTTTCATTATCGTATCAAATTATTGTTGTAGTATACCTGAGAGAGAAAAATATTTTAAACCATCCGTTATTTTAATTATGTTCCTCGAAGTAACTCAGTTTGAATCGCGCTTTACATATGGTTCTTTTAATAAATCATTAACTCTTAGTTTCAGCTTAAAATATTTGTCAGGCAAATTACGTAAATCTCACTTCAACTTTTCCTTACGTCAAAACCTTTTACTAAGGTATTTCATTACGTATCCATACATTTTTAGTGATGTGTACATGCATCAATGCAAAGCATATAAGGGATATAGCTGATTCCAAATTAATTTGTTATGTTTGGTTCTTGGATAGCTGCGGTTATGTCGGAGCTCTGAATGTATTAAATTTATGCAGAAAGCTCAGATAAATATTGGTATATTTCCTCTTACGTTTACGGGTTCAACTTATGAAGATGTTATTTACCTTTGGCCAAGTTGAAGCTTTTCTGGAGCGTCAAGAAAAACGTTGCGAACAGTTCCAAATTCGAATTCTAGAAACTCTAACGCATCAAATGAACCTAAATTAAAAGATGACCCATTCAAATCCCATGCCAACTGCTCAAGTCATACGCGGTATATTAAGAATCTAAGCTCTTGATATAACACCTTTCATCAGGCTGTTTGTGCGGTATTAGCACTAAACCCAAACAGATGAATTCGCAGTTACTTTTGGTCGTCTAGGTTAGGTTTCATTCACGTGATCATTTGTTTCATATCAGCGTTCATCACTCATTGTTATTGAGTATATACCCTGGGAGGAATTCAAAATATTTAGCTGGTTGATAACTGTATCGTTATTTTGGCTGGATTTCGGATATATTTGTTTTACTTGAACTCCGAACTTGCTTGTTTATAACTGAAATCCTGGATATTTTCAATCCTCTACTGTTTTCATTTGCTATTTTGAAAATTTTGCCTTGAAAGGCTTGTTCGTAAATTATTATTAGAATAATATTTCTTTGGTGACTACTTGTAATTTACGTAAAAATGTTGGTATCTGTATAAAATCTGTTCTCTGTTGTTTGGGTTGTAGTTTACACGTTTATCAATGGACAATTCCTAAAAATGAACCAGTGCAGAATTTCGACATTCTATTTTCCGATTCTCATATTGATGTCTGAAGTGGTTCAGTGTTAGGATCAGTTATGCACCTCATGATCACAAAGAACATAGTATAGTATCATTTTTGCGGAATTTTCCGGCTGCTAAGATTGTGAAAGTATAAAATGGATATTTTCGAAGACGTACTAGAACTTCTGGAAGATGTTATCAGATTGTAGCTTGACATATGATTATAAGCTGCCTTTAAAATCTTAATAGCTTAAGGCGGACATTTCGTAACACAAGACAAACTGCACATGCAGTTTGAGAATTACTAGATGTGAAATATACGATGGTTTCAGGCCTTTGTGACTTTAAATCCAATCTTAATTGTGAAAACATTTCACGAGCACATCACACGCCACAATATTTAAATTCCAAGTTGACCAGTACGAAAAAAGATATTTCCAGAGTTTTATTCAGCTCTAGCTCCAGAGAATATAATTACTTGGAAAACTATCCAAAGCGAAATCCGTTCTTGGACTCAGGTATTTACATTTTATCTCAATCTTTTTGATCTGGAGTGATTTTCTCTTGACATTACATTATTTAAAGTTTCTCAGCCTGATTTACTTTAAACTGAATGAAACGTTGTTGCCGTTACTATGCCAAATAAATTGAGAATCTCTTAACTGTTTTTTTTTAATAATTTTTTGACAATCTATAAAATGAACTTTGCGTTTATACTTTCCTTATTCTTCCGTTTGAACATGTTAAACATGTATGGTTGACACTCAGTTTCTCGTTTTTCTCTGGCTTCGCTGCAATGAACGGTTGAGACTGCTTATTTAAAATAGTATTTTCTTTCGTCTGTTGGTCATCGAAAAAAGCACATTTTATTCTATCTATCGATTGAGTTTCTCTCTTGTCCCTTTTGTCAATGATGAAGTGTCTAGTTATCCATTATACGGCCACTTTAATGGTTTTCGAATGTCATCGACGAGGAAAAAAATGAATGTGCATGTCTGTAGATATATTTTGTGTCGTACCTAATAACCATGTTCAAGCGTAGGTATCGCATTATTCTGCTGAATAGCCTGTAATAAACAGCTTGCAAAACGCGTTCTATCGCTTAATGTATTTTCGATAGGGTTAACTGGTTGATTCATTAAGACCAGAATTTTACTGTAGAATTGTTCAGCTGATGTGCAGCATATAACTAACTTGTTAAAATGAAGCTCAGGGAGGAATGATAGTAAAACGTCATTCCATTATGTTGTGTCAGTCCATAACATCACCAAACATTTGAGTGACGGCGAAATCTTTCGAATGATTCACTCGATGCCAAATATTAAGTTTTTGTCTTTATATGCTCCACTCCTAAAAGCCTGGTGAACTTGTACAATTATCGTCTAATTCGTTGTTAGTACTGCTCTAGTAATAAATGTGGTCCTAAAATTGTAGATTTATCATGATGCTACCGCCTAATTCATAATATCTTATGTAGAAGTCGCATCATTTTCTACACCAACTCATCGTATAGTAACAATCACCAATATGTGATGGAGAACATATTTAAGCTGGACATAGAACAATATATTTAGTATGAATAAAAGAGGTAAGTTACACAGGGATAACCACGCCTGCGAGGTTGAGCCATGCCATCTGATTGAATTGAATTAATTCTTTCCTCTGCGTTAAATGTTGAATATGTATTTTCCCAGTTATCTCGTGTTCAGCTTTGAGGATTGTGTGGTTGATGTCCAGTGCCACCACAGACTCCTAGGACTGGACAAACATAGTAGGAACATCTTCCTGTACTGGTGGTAATGGCAATCGATAATCTGATACACAATAGTAAAGGAATACTGAGCTGTCGACTCTGCTTACATATCTTTAACGAGACATGATGTTTTTCACCTGGTAAACCTGTCAACAATGATAATGATGTGGGTGAAAGAGTTGAAAGGTGAGAGTTAACCGACGATATCTATATGAAGTTGTTGGAAACGTCTGTCGCGTAATGACAATTTTCCAATGGCATTTATCATACACTGCGCTGACATTGTGTGGAGTTTCTTGATCACATTTTTACGTCCCAGTTAATTTTCGGCTGGAAAAAGGTTTCGTGATGACTTTTGTTGTAGTTCGGATCTCGGAGTGTGAAAGATCATGGAGCTGTAGAAATACTATTTGACGGTAAACTTTAGGGATAAAAGGGTGGGTATTACCTGTTGAAACGCCACAGACGATGGAAAAAATCGGAGAAAGAAATAGTTGGACGTTTGCGAATGTAGCTGGATTTTTCTCTGCACGTTTTTAAATCGACGTCGTCTACTTGTAACTTCAACAAGATTTCGAGATTAATGTATTGTTTTTGTATCAGCATATTGTTGTCCCTTCTTGATACGGGGTCTGCTAAGACTAATATGATGAGCCAATCAGCAGTAGCCTAGTAGGAAGGTCAATCGACGGCAATCAGAACAGACTTCATGGATAGGTGCATTTCATTGGCTAATAAATGAATTAAGGTCTTAAACAGTAGAGTTGTATTTAAGTAAGTGTGTATCTATGTTTTTATTCGGATGCACAATATGCATTCTTGCTTATTCTTGTGTTTATACTTAAGTAATGCGTTGGGGGCTAAGTGCGATTCACATTTTATATCAATTACAGATTTTGACAACACCTGTCACAACAACATTACAATTTCTTTTTATGAACTGAATGTCGCTTGTCTTTTGTGGGATATAATTCAACTGTCGCGCTTCATGTGGTGAATGCCGATAACACGACATGATAAAGGAAAAACATAAGGGTTTGTAGTCTGTTATTATTGCAAACTCACTTCCTTGTAGTAGGAAATTAGAATGTATTACCGTCAAAAACATTTTTAATAATTCATGCTATCAAGTTCCATAGCGTATTTGGGCTAATAAAGGAGGTTTAAGAGAAAACACTGCAAAAGTATAATTACGCGCTATTCAAAAAGGACAGTGGTATATTTTCTTCTGAGTACTTTTTATAGTATCGATCGTTGAATTACGCATCAAGACCACTGTTTTTACTTTAATTGAATTCTTTCGGTTAAAGTAATCCACAAGAGTACAGCTTTATCTCTAGAGAAGTTTATCATCTGTACTTAACGAGTACAGATACATAAAACTAAAGGCACTAGTACTTAGTCTTCGTCGTTGAATATATCTTTGAGCACTGTTTGTATCCATAGGTGTTAAGATATTTCTGTAGCTGCCGAAGTCTGATTATTTTGTTTCTTTGTTTTATTTATATAGAAACATAAAACAAATCTATGGCGCAATTGAAACATGGTTGTGGTAGACCAGCATGCTATTTCCCTATTGTTGAGCGGATACAATGTTATAACTGCAATAAGTGGTATCACAGTGTGTGCACCGGACTCACACCGGTACAACATGCCATTATCACTTTGGTTGTGTAAAGCATGTTGTTCTGCTAATTCTCTGCTGATTCTAGAGGCGATCGAGCTGCTAAACTTAGCTACGAAATCGCCCTCTGATAAACAGGCAGCAGTAGATGATCAAAGCTCTGCTTTCCACGAGATTGAGAGAGTTATTACGAGTGCAGCTTTAGACTTGAATGAGACCATGAAGGTGGACCTCAACAAAGAAACAGATAAGCATATGGATGTAGGTATTGTTGCAAGGAGAAAGAAGAAGCGCGCGGAGAAGGAGAAACTACTTGTAGACTGTACTGAGGCATGTGAATCTGCAAGTCCAGGACAAACTATAGGAGAGCCAGGTCTGTACAATGTAGAGGAAGTGATCAAGAGACAAATAAGGTAAATGAGTGGTTCACAGTCACACCTAGCAAAAGGAAACCAAGAAAACAGAACGTAACCTCTGCACTTGGCGCTGAATTGAAATCGGACGGCAAGGAAGAGATGGTTTCAGGAACTAAAATCCCATAGCGTGTCAAGACAGACCTCGCTGAAAGGTCAGTCATTTTTCATAAGTTAAAAGAATCGTCCGATAAGGAACCAAAGGCTAGATTTGAGCACGACCTCAGTCATATTAAGTTCCTAATAAGCAAGATACTCCCAGAAACAGTTTCAGGAGCTAGCATCTGTAAGCATTATGACATAATACAAAGGGTGGATTCTAAAAGTCCTCAGAAAAGCCGCCTCTTGTAGGTTACATTTACCACGTTTGGAGAAAGGAACCTAATTCTAGGTAACCCACGCAAAGTGATTGGATCCTGAATATACGTCCGTGAGGATCTCAGCCTAGCTGATCGTATTGAGAGACGAGCTATGGAAGTGGAAATAAATGAGCACCACCGAAACAGTGAAAGAAACCTCGTTCTTAAGAGTTTTGAAATTGTAAAAGTTCGGATCAAAACGATCCTCAAAACACTCTGTGTGGTAATAGAAAGTTCTTCACAGACTTAAAGGTATGCTACAGAAATGCCCACAGCCCACCAAACAAAATAGCGGAGCTCAAGTCAGTGTTGGAAAAAGAATAACCGGATGTTATTGCTGACACAGAAACTTGGTTAACTTCATAAATATTAGATAATGAAATTCAGGTGACTGGTTTTCATCCAGTAGGGCTGATAGGTTAAACCGTAGGGGAGGCGGGGTTGTCCTGTACACGAAAAATACCCTAACCATAAGAGCAGTTGAAAAAGTGCCACATGTTTCAGGAACATGTGAACTGCAAGCTGAAATGTAGACGGTAAGATATTAAATTAGTTGTAGTATACCACGGTAAGGAATGTGTAATAGATGATTTTCTCCTAAGTAAACTTTAGTCCTGGCGTAACGAGTGTAAAAGCCTTGTGGTAGGCGACTTTAATACACCGTATATAAACTGGGTTAACTCTGAAGTAGGGTCATCAATAACGTCATTCGGTTGCAAACTGTTAGAAACCTCGATTACGTCAGCTTTATTCCAACACATTAGAAATCCCGCAACATACAACTTAAGAAAATCCCCTTCTCCTTTAGATTTAGTCTCCACACACGGTGATGACTTTGCTCAAATGACTTTCATCCCACCATTAGGTAGAAGTGACCAAGCAGTCATATTATTCAAATTCATGACTGAGATTGCCTGTCAAACAGTTACGCCGGCCCGTTCTAATGTATGGGAAGCAAGTATGGACGCAATCAACACCGCAACATCGGCTGAAAACTGGGAGACTGACTCAAGAGCATCCGGACAAGAGGCATGGACTCATTTAAAGCAGCTATGCAATAGGGTAACTCAACCATACATACTTTGGACAGTCCCAAAGAAGATGAAGCATGGCCACCCCTGGATAGGGCGGGATATTCGACCTATATTCAAACAAAAGAAGAAATGTTGGAATGTTGCCATCCGCCTTGGCACGGCAGGTACGATGGAACGCTATGGGTCGATAAGAAACACGTGTATAACAAAAATTCTGGAAGCCCAAAGGAAATATGAAATGCAGTTGGCACAATCTGCACTCAATCAACCCAAGAGAATATGCTCGTACATAAACTACAGAACAAGGATGCATCATTGGATTCCCAACCTCATCAAACAAGGAATAGAGTCTAAAACGATAGAGGAAGATCAGGAAAAAGCAGAGGCTATGGCTAACTATTTTGGGACAGTTTTCACTCAGAAACCTCCTCTAGACAAAGAACCAGACCAAAATAAAGATTAAACAAACCACCTGCTTACCGTGGACTTCGATCAAGACGATGTGCTTAAGGCTCTTAGCACCATAGGCATCGGAAAAGTCAACAGGATCAGATGAACTTTACCCCGAAATCTTGGGACATATTGCACAATATATCGTGGCCCCACTGACTGTGATATCCAATATGTCACTTGACCGAGGTGTGTTACCTATGGACTAGAAGGACGTATTCGTCGCTTTCATACATAAAACAGGACCAAGATGAGTTCCATCGAACTACAGACCTGTGAGCCTCAC